TTTCTTAAGAAGCGTTAGGAGAATTTTGAGCATTTTTAGCATTTTGAGAATTTTGAGCATTTTCGGAAAAAACAGGAAAAGTAAGTTTTTGAATACTTTATCACACCCCAAACATAAATTCTCGGGTTTTTTTCGTTTATGCTCGTTTATTCTCGTTCATGCTCGTTTGTGCTCGGGGAACGTTCTTCTAAAATACGTGCTCGAAAATTTTACATCACTAATTTCAATACAAACATACAAAATTATTAAACAGTTTCTTTTCGCCAATCTTTGAAAGGTTTATATGCAGGTTTGACGTTTTGATTTCGCCGGCGGTACAGTTGTAATTGCATACGAGTTGCATACTATACTTTTTCTAATGCATTCGTTACTAAAATGGCGTTTATTCAACTAATACATAATATACTAATATTTTTAAAGGTATTGCCTAGTAAAATTTAAATGTGAAGCTAATAATATTTAATGTGTATAATAGTTAGAATAATAATATAGATTAGGTGCAGGGTAAAAATGAGTTTTAATTTAAAATTTAATTTAAAACTTGATAAATAATTTAAGTCATAATTTACCGCTAAAATTATGTCATAATAATATATTAGAAATATTGATAAACTATTGATTAAATAGTTATTTAACATTTTAAGAAATAATTTAATGGAAAACGAGGTTATTATGGACAAATTATTATTTATTATCATTTAACGATAAATCAACAGTTAACCAACTTCTTGCTGTACTGACTGGGGCATTTCTTAATTAAAACAGTTTTGCAACAATTCCAAGTTGTTGTCAATAACCTGTTAATTATTTTACAACAAGTGTTTACCTGCCTACGCGAATGTTCATATAAATTACCATTTTAAAGCCTTAAAATTTAAATATCGAGTGCATACTCGAGAATAATCGGATATAAAAATGTAGTATGAATAAATTATCTTTTATGGCTACATTTTATTTAAGATATAAGATTTTTTATAAAAAAATTAATTAACTTAATAATTATGTTTAGGTAAAATTATATTACTAAAGGGATTCTGAGACTTCTTAGGAAGTAAGGGTGGAACTAAAATAGCACTTTTGCATATACTTTTTTATATTAACTATAATATAGTAAATGAGGAGGTCCATTCCAAAACTCGGCTTATCCACTTTTTAATAAAAATGAGTTAGTGGTGTCTGTACATTTAACATGTATCCCCCTATACCCTGAAAAGTTCATAATATTCTAAAACTCATCTTATTCCATTTAAAATTCATTTACAAATTGACTATCGTTCCAAAACTTGCCTTATCTATTGGTTATATCATGCAGATCTCGGCATATATATGTACGTATGTAATTTTAAATTATTTAAAATTGGAGCCATACCTTTTTAATCAAGATATATAAATGTTTTACTTATGCCTATTTATTTTTGTATTTCGTTTAAATTATTGTGTTTTCCTGATATGCGTTAGTACTCACGTGTAAGGTTTTTGACATTTTTCTCAAAAACAACTAATATGGTAAGCCGAGTTTTGGAATGCACCTCCTCAAATATTATCATGACACGTAAACAAGTATTTTTTTTTTTTTTTTAACAAAATATTAGTATAATGTATCATTTTATTTACTAGTTTTATTAGGCACGAACGAAGCTTGCGAGCAAGTGTTTAATACAAACGAGTGTCTAGAGAAGTTTATAAATCGAGTTGCATACTATGACACATTGTGTACTTTATCTACGACGAACAGAAATAAGAATTTAAAGTCAATTTTATTTCATAAATATTTGACATTAAACCTCACTTTTTCGCAATTTATAATAAAGCTAACTAAAATGCCCAAAAGCCACTGTTTTTAACTTCAGCCCGTGATTAAAATGCCATAAAGTCACAGCTCGTCAATGTACGAGTAGAAGTAGATAATAGTTTATTATGTATCAAGGTTGATAAACGCCATTTTATACAAGAATTTAATTTAGCGAGCGAGCTTGCGAGCGAGTGCTTAAGTTATTGAGTTTATAGGAAAGTTTATAAACGAGGTGCATACTATACTTTTTCTACTACAAATACTTATTATTATCTTAAAATGATTTAAATCAAAAATTTGTATAGAGCGCCATCTATGAAACAACAGGGGAAACTGTCAAATGTCACATTTTTACATTTTATAAACACAATTATAAAGGTTATAAATCGAAATGTATTGAAAATTGACAGTTTTTCACAGTGAAAGGAAATGTTTTATGAGGACTTTGCAGTAGAGTCGATGCCCGAATTTAAGTTATAGTTTACTGCCGGCGAAATTAAAAGGTCAGTACAATGTTCATATAAACTTTTAAAATATTGGCGTTGAGAAGCTATTTAATACTTTTGTATTTTTGTATTGAGATAATAAAATAATTTTCACATTTAGTATTATTTTACAAGAAAAGCAATTTATTTTAACGATTGTATGACATCTGACAATTGTCAACTAACTTAAAACTAACTTCAGCCCGTGACTAAAGCGCCATAAAGCCACAACTTGTCAATGAGTATTTAAAAGGTCACTTAGTGTCATGGAAACATGTACGATAAAGGGCGTTTTAAAGGTGGGAGTAGAAAAAATATGTTTTTTTCTACTACCTTACTAGAAAACTTAATTTTCCACCCCCGAGCGAGGGGGTAAAATGCCTCTTTTCCTCCCCGGGAGGAAAAAAAAATTCCTCCCTCTTTTTTTTAACAATTTTACATTAGCAAGAGTTTTTGTACCCTGTCGAGCCCTATTTGATTTTGTAGGAAAAAGATTTACTCCGCGCTTGTGCAACCATTATTTGAACAAACTATATTCATTTTCATATCGCTCTTTCGATTTTTAAGGAAGGAAATTAATTGCAACTATTCTTGCTTCTTTAGCAAGATCTTGCGGCAGGTCTTCTTCGCCAGAACTCATTTTCAAAACGACGGCAACGCAACACCTACTTAATATTTTGTCATAATTGTATAGCCCCATACCGGGTTAGTAAAAGGAACCTGAACGCTTAAAATTAGTGTTGTCACTGAAAAAAAAAGTCTTGTTTCTTTAAAAAAAAAAAATGTTTTTTTTTAGAAAAAAAAACAGAGGTCCTTGTTTTTTTTCAAAAAAAATGTTTTTTTTTTCAAAAAAATGGTCAAAAATACTCAAATTATATTAAGTGACATGATTTTCGAAATGTCACTGCTGAGGAAAGAATTTTTGGCACATTCTGTCACTAGAAGATTTTTAAATACTAATTATAGTTTCTTACTTACCATTAGTAATATTCTTAAACAAATTGTTTAACGTTGTTGGCTTTCGCCCTGAGCCTTTTCTTTTCGGCATTTCTACCAACTATGCATCAACCTATAAAGCCGCAGGTCTTAACTCTTCTATTATAATACCGTATAGACTATGCGATATGCTGAGTCAGCATTGCCGACAGCGAGGCGCCCTTTTACCATACGTGGGTGAGGATGAAAAAAAACAACTTTTGTTTTTTTCAGTGAAAAAAAACATGTTTTTTTCAGTGAAAAAAAACATGTTTTTTTCACGTGTTTTTTTTTTCAACTGAAAAAAACGTTTTTTTGCAACATTACTTAAAAAGTCTTAAAACCGTTAAAAGGTAATAGAAAAAACTATATACATACCTCAGGAGGAAAATGCGTTTCCTTCCTTGAATATTTAATGCCCTTCGCTTCGGGCATCAAACTATTGGCGGGAGGAAAAGCACTATTTTCCTCACATGGTATGTAAATAGCTATTACTTAAATTAAACAGAGCCAATGAAGGGGTCAATGCAAGAAGTGCCTTAGTCACAAATAGGTGATTCTGAGATATTGCGGTTTGACGGTTTATTTTTTATTATGAAATATTGCACAAAATATTATGATCAAAATGTTGTATTGTATTCCTGGTAGAACGTGGATTTGACTTCCATGATGAAAAAAAAAACGTTTTTGTTAAATCCAAAAAATATATATAATAATTTGGGGCTTCGGCACTTTTTCCGTTGATATTTTTTTATTTTGTAAAAAATTTAGGATTATATTCAGGAAACATTTGTTTATACTTAAAAAAAGTAAAAAATACATGTGTGAACATAACTTGAGACTACATACACATAATATGAATGACAAGAAACGCTTGAAGAAAAAGATTACAACATGGAGTCCAACTTAACTTAAAGCAAAACTAAGAATATAATAAGAAGGCTGGCTAATCATAAACAGCGTCGGCCTCTTGTAACTGATATCCTTCCATTTTTAGACAAGGTTCAAACAAAAAATTCAGTATCCAATGATTGATGAACGTGCTTTACGAGATGGGTTACGTTGTTAATTTTCAGCTTAGGATGAAGTCAATGTAAAAAGAATAATAAAATAATTTATACCATATATACCATATCCATTGTAAAAAATGGTTACCAGTATGTTTTAAGGTAACACAAGCTGTTTTATTCTACTTTACTTACCTGCCATATTTTTCTTTTAGTTTTAGATGATGTTTAGCTTCTTTTAATATCCATATTGGAAATTTATAATAATTAGTTATAAAAGTATAATTATAAATATATTTTGGTTACGAATTTCAAATATTTATAGTAGAATAACTCAACTGCAGTAGGTATTTACATTATTAATACTGTATATATTATACAATCTCTATATATCTATACAGTCTGTATCTCTTAATAAATTATACATATAAGTAAAAATAGCTTTGTGTGTTTTAAGTTAAAATTGTTTAAAAATTACAGTTTGTTACTCTTTTGTTAAATTATCAATAAAAGTTTTAAAACAAGAAATATTAAAATCACCAAATATTATTATTTTGTTTTTATTATTATATTTAAACAAATTAAAGAGTTCAGTACTACTTTTGGGTTCCCATTGGCACGTCCCAAATGGTACGTCAAATATGAAAAAATTATGTATGCTAATATTTTGCTAATATTCAAAATCTTTTGTCAAAAAATTCCTCGGACTAAAATTATTATTATAATTTACCTTTTTTTCAGGGATACTCATGTATTGATCTAATGAATGCAGGAATGAGAACGTCTGGTGTCTTTTTCCTACAAATCCGTGGTACGACGTATTGGTTTTTGAAAGTATTTTGCGAACAAGAGATTGCGGAAGGAGGTTGGACTGTAAGTAAAAAATTTATATTGTAATGTCAACATGTTTATATATATATATATATATATATATATATTAAAGGTTTATTACCTTTAAATATTTATGTAAAATTAAAAGAAATTCCCATAAATATAAAATTCTTTAACCTTTTACCATTTATTAATCAATTAATTTGATTTGTATTTTAATGTAAATTTTTCATAATAGCCATAATTTTTAATTAATTGATATTTTATTATAAAAGTTGCCATTAAAAGGTAACTATATCTTAATAAAGTTATTTTATGGCTTAAAAATATTTTAAGAACACAAAAATGCGACAATCTATCTTGAAAGTTGATGATGTCACACCATTTCAATTATTTAAAGCGTTGCTATTTTTGTTTAACAAATATTACAGAAACCGTAAATTGGGAAAAAAACTCGATAAATCAGGAACCCATTACCATTTAAACGGTTATGATAAAAAGCGGCCTGGTATTCGCAATCAGCATAGTAAAAAATTTTGCGCTCTGTAAAAGGCAACAACTAGTTGTTACAATTTTCTCTGTCGCCGGCTCTTTCACAATACAAATCTTTATAATATCTGTCCATAAGTTAATTTGACGGTAGTGTTACTTTTAGTATTTCCTCAACAAATACCTGTTACATAATGACATAAATCTTGTAAAGTGGTTCGGTTTTTAGCACAACTGGAAACATTGCAGACCGATATTTACTATCTACTTTGGAATCCGATCGTATAAACGATTGCAATGGAAATACTGATTTATTACACAAAACGTATAAAAAGTAAACACATTTTTTTTAAATTGTCAAACAAATTTTTATACTTTAATTATAATTATAAAAATAATTATTTATACATGTTTTAATATAAAATCGATATAAAACATTTAAGATATTATAATATCATATCATATAGGAATCAATTAAAGGGGTGAAGGGATAAAGGTGTTAACCATGATACTACATTTGTATACAAATGTAGTATCATGGTTAACACCTTGATACTATAGTATCATGGTGTTAACTAACATTTTTGTGTAAGGCAAAAATGTGGCAACCTTTATTATTTAGTTTCTTAGTTTCCAACTGTTTACATAACAAGTTGCTGATTTAAAAAAAAACATAATTTTTAAATTTTATTGAGTGCCGGGCTCTAAAAATTTCTAGGTCTAACAAAAATTTAGATACTAAAAAAGCAAATTTAAAGATTAGGTACATAAAAATTAGAACAAGTTATTTTTCATAAAAGCGTACTCATAACTTCTTTAATTTTTAATATAATTCAACAAAACTATTATTAATTCAATACCGAGAATTTCTACGAAACCTACTCTCCTAAAATGAATTAGTTAAAAATAACTAATTATAAGTCATATTTAACTAATTGTCATAGCGAAAAAGCAGTCACTAATAATTAGTCAAATTCTACTGAATGAAATAGTCAAATTAGTAGATTTAAATTTAAAAAAGTTTTGACCCTGCCGGGGATTGAACTCAGGAGTGCGTTCGAAATGAGAGTGTACTTGGATATGGTATAAGGTGTATGTATCTTGAAGGATATATCCTATAGGTATATAATCACGTGACTTTACATTATACCTGACCTCCTTATTTTCGAACGCCGCGGAGCATATACCTATAAACTTTTTGTTGTAGTGTTCTAAAATCAATTGGTTTTGCTTGTTATTTGACTGAATACATATAAATATTAAATTATTGAATTTGAACCCTTTAGTTATATGGTTTATTCAAGTTTTTGTGATAGATTTTGTTTTGTTTTTTAGAATTGATATTTTTAAATAATTTATTTTAAATAAATTTTTTTATTTTAATGTTTTTCGTTTTTGTTTTATTGAATTTTAAACAGTTATAAATAAATTATATGAAGGTAAATACAAATTATTGTTTGATGTACCCTATGCGCATGACGGGTAAAACTTAACCAAGTCTAAAGCTTGGACAACCGAGAGTGCACAGTAATTAGTAGATTTAAATTTAAAAAAAGTTTTGACCTAGCCGGGGATTGAACTCAGGGGTGTCACTTGTCAAGCTTGTCAAGATGTTGTCATAACCCATTCGGCTATCAGCCGCTCTTATAAAAATCAATTTTATTTGTCAATAAATATTGTTAATAATATTTTAAAGTTGAATATATTATTTGTGTTGCTGTTTTGAGCTAAACTTTTTGTTTTTATGGGTCATTTAACCATGGAGTCTATATGCATTTAATTCAAATAATACTTTGTTATTGGCCGAAAACGATTAAAGATATTAGTTACTTTTAACTCTCACAAATAGTCAAAGATGGTGACTAATCTTAAATTAGTCAAACTTTAACTATTTACGTAGTAAAAAAATATCTGTTTAAAAGTGAAAACGACTATTTTATTAGTAAAAAAATGCTGGTACTAATTCAAATAGTGGAATTTTGACTATTTCATTTTAAGAGAGTATGTTAATCTACAGATGCACCGCCGCAAAAAATTATTTATATTTTTCCTTATTCAAAGCTAATCGATAAGGAAATGGAAACAATTAAGAGAAGACTTAAATTTTTAAAAATAGTTTTACTTTAATTTCCGGATACATAGCTAAAAATATATTTTTTTAATTTGAGGCAAAAATTTTTTTATTTTAATTTAAAAATTAGTAAACAATTAAAACATTTATAATTATAATCAGCTAAACAAATTTTCTAGGAGTAATATAATAAATCCTCGTAAATCCTTAACCTTGGTAATTAATAATATAAGTAATAAAATAATAAAAAAGTGAATATTGTTATTAAAACCCATAAAATGGTTTATGGCTATAGATTTTATAGGAAGTAAATGATGTTTTTGTGAATAGTAAAATAGTAAACAATAAATAAAAACTAAAAATATACCCACCTTTGTATGTAATAATTAACAATTATTGTGACTGCTTATTTTATCAATCAATAAAAATAAGTTTTAAAATAAGCATTTAATGAACAGGATAACAGTAAAAAAATACGCAATAAATATTAGCTATTGAAAGATTTGTACGTCAATTTAACTACAAAGTAAACGCTTATGTAAAATTTAAACACGAATTCATTCTTAATAAAAATTTATAGGACAGGTTGGATAAGGAGAGGCGCAAATTTCACGAATGTTATCATAAATAAAAAAGTCATGTAAAAGGAAATAATTTTTTGCAATACAAATTTACTAAATTTATGGAAAAGATAAAGTTACTTTAAAGATTTAAATTGTGCATTTTGTATATATGATAATCTGGTCAATACATTAAAACTACTGATAAATAATAAATATAAAACAATGTTCCATTGCATAACATAATTACAGTATTGTGCGAATTATTGTGAACATTGGGAATTTCTATATTATTTTAACTTCGAACACTGCTGCAGCATGTTACATGTGACAATTCTGACAGGTGTTTCTTGACACATCCCATAACCTATCATTCTTCATTAAGTTATTGCTAATGTCAGTCATTTTGCCGGTTATTGCGACTAATTTACACTAGGATAAAAAGGTAACCCTTCCAGGCTAGCCTGTAAACTCACCGGACATTAATCCTATTGAGAATTTGTGGGCTATATGCAAGGCCAGGTTGCTGAATAGTATATTCTATAACAAGTTTGGAATACAGCATATTCCGCTCGAATGAAGAGTTTGTCGGTTTCACGAGAGCGGAATATGCAATTCCAAACGTGTTTCAGACTATACTTTTTCTACGTTTTCAAAAAATACCATAGAAAAGTCATTTGATTGGAAGAAAGTGAGGTTGGATCGGTATAAAATTTGTTATATATTAAAAACAGAGATGTCGCCACGAGTGTTTATTCTGTAATAGGATGATAGAATATTTCATTCTGTAACACTTTACGGAATATATGTCATTCCATAGATAAAAGTGATAATAGAACGGTCAAATTCCGTAATAGGAGTAGAAAAAATAAATTCTATAACAAAAACTAAGATGATTGAGGCTGTCATTCAGGTATGGTTTCGAGATGACCAAATAAAGGAAAATTGCAAAACATTGATTAATTCTATGCCAAAACGAGTTGAAGCTTTAATAAAGGCCAAAAGTGGGACATATTCCCTATTAAATAATACTAAAATAATTATAAACTAGTAAAGTTTGTATTTTTTCTTTCATTTAATAATATTTAACGTAAATCTATTTGTGTTAATTAATTCGCACAATATTGTATGTTTCCAACAAAAAATTGGTTTATATAATTTTCAATTAATACAATTTGTCAATGAAATTTTAGTAATAATAATATTATTATATAAGAGATAATGCAGGCTTGCGTCTTCCGCTAGATGAGAGAGGCAAATTATTTACTCCAATTGGTAGATAATTAAATCATTTTATAAATAAATAAATAATTTGTCAGTTGTTTAACCTCACTTTCTACCAATTTTAAATATTATTATTATTATAGTCGCCTTCTTCCAATTGGTTTAAATCACAGTGGATATTCTAATCGACCAATCACTGATGCCTAACAAGGTAAAGATTTCATTATTCACGTTGTTAGGCGGGAAATTTATAATGGTTATAATTATATACGAAAAATAACCAATATTATGCAATAGGAGTAAATAAAAAATATGCTTAGTTGTTACATTATTTTGAATTGACATAGGTACCATAGGGGATATCTAAAATGGCTAAAATACAGTTCTACAAATAATGAATTCTAATGAATCTTAGAATCTTAGACCAGGGCCGCCGAGAGACAAAACGGGGCCTGGGACTGGACTGTTGGATTTTTTATTTGGGTATAATCTAAATTATATTTTTTCAATCTTAAAACAATTGGGAAAAATATTTTTTTAAATTTTAAATGATAATTATTTAAATTTAAAGACAAGAAAAAAATCTTAACTCGCTAATAAATTAATATTAAATAATACAGAAGACATATTCTTGTAGAAAATTGTACGCTCTATAAAAAGGTAATTACGTTTTTTCGTAAAACCTTCCATTTAAATGATATCGGAGATAAAAGTTTTAAATAAATAAAAAAATACCTTTTTTCTCGAAATTTATCGTGGTTGGCTTTTTCAATTGAGTATCATCTAAATTATTTGTTTACAGTGTAAAAACAATTTTGGAAAAAACATTCCTGTCGTTTAACCCGGCTTAAATTTAAAAAAGTAGGTATCATCATTTAGGAAGGGTTCAACGACTTTGGAAAAAAAAATATTTTTTGTTAAATTTTTTTATTTTGTAAAGAAATAATTTAGAAGATTTCCAAGTAAAAAAAGCCAACTTGGGAAATAACTTTTAGGTCTCTAGTTTCATTTAGGATTATATTTAGGTATTTGTATGTAGGGCCTAAGTAAATTTTCCCGTCTGCCCCCCACTCATATTAGACATGCAAAAATTAATTACATGTGGGTGAATATATTGAGATGTCCCCCAAATGAAAATGATTATTTTATATTTTTGGTTGTTTCTCTGTTAGTCTAGAATGGGGTTTTCGGGAAGCCACCAGGTCTAGTAATAACTGGTTCTGCACTAATGTAAGAATTTTAAGAATTCATACATTTTGAATATTAGAGATTCACGGAAGATAGCTTCACGGAGGTTAGGATTGCATATGTTTTTTTTAAACATCTCTTTGTATATTTGAAATAAGTTATTGTATCTTTTGACACCTTAATATTTTTAAAAAATACAATTGTACAGTTGTATTCAATAAAAAAGCGTACAAGAATTAGAATGAGAGAAAACTGTCAAAATAATATTATTGCTTAAAACCGGCTTATCACTGACATAAGTCATTAAAATAATTACTATAGGTTATAAAGAGCATTGACGTCGTAGGTTAATTAAATAATATTACAAAAATTATTACCTTTTAGAAATGAAAAAAAAAACAAACAATAAAAAAAATTTAATATTTAGTCATGCATCCCTGTTTTTCTATTACTTGAGCCAATCTATTTGGGATGAACTGAATTAAATTTAATACAATATTTGGATTTATATCTTCCCAGCAGTATAGTAGGTATAGTATAGTTGTATAGTTTCCCATAAATCCTAAGATATACCAAAAAAGCAACATCCTGTGGACATTTTGGGACGACCTGAACCAACTTTTTGGTTTAGTAAATCTTCCTGTTCCCAGCGTTGCTTAATTTTTAATATAGATTTTTTATTTCTATTATACCACAGTACGAATTGACCATTCTTCTTCGATTCTTGATACTATTTGAGCCTTTTTAACTGACGAGACATTTTTATTTTCTACTGTCAGTTATAGTGTCAGTGGAAAGCCGGTTTTACGCAATAATGTTGACAGTTTTCTCTCATTCTAATTCTTGTACGCTTTTTTAATGAATACAACTGTACATACATAAAATATTTATAAAAAAAATCTACTTACTGAGATATTACACTTCACGGTGGATAGGTTTTTAAATAGCAAATTATTGAACTTAAACTTTTGAATTATAAAACAGCAACACAATCACATGCATCTATAATGTCGTAGAGGTTTTTGCTTATTTAAAATGATTAAAGCGCCATCCGTTGAATAAAATTTAAAGCAAAAACAGATTCATCCGTGCACGGAGGAAAGAATCCATTTTTGTAGCACCTACATAAATGGTTATAAAAATTATTTCTTTTAATGTTTAATAATATTTTATATTTGATTCGATTGCTTTGGATGTGTTTAATTTACTTAGTGAACTGATATTTTTAGTATGCTTTTTCTACCTCAGATATTTTAAAAATAATTAATTGCGGTTAAAAATCTGGAACCTAAGCTGTAATATCTACTTAATTATGAAAGATCAAAACACAATAAAAGTGGGGGACATTTCGTGAGATTCACCCATGTAATTTACTAATTAATTTAAAATTTCTAATCAAATGGAAACATTTCTCACTGAAAATTTTAACAGCCCATCGATCTCTAATAATAATAGTTATTATAATTCAACATGATTAAATGTGTAAATTTTATGTATAACATGGGCAGGTACTCCACCCACACAAAATAGATAATATAAAGTAAATTAAAATAACAATTCTGTAGGATTACTGAAAAAGCATTACTTAATAAACTTTTTACAGGTAATTCAACGTAGGGATGATTTTGGAAATCCCAGGGAAAATTTTAATCGTGACTGGAACGACTATAAAAATGGTTTTGGAGATCCAGCCAAAGAATTCTGGCTTGGTAATGAAAATATTTACATGTTGACGAATAATGAAGAATACTCATTAAGAGTGGAACTTGAGGACTTTGAAGGAAATAAAAGGTAAGAATCCAAAATACGAAATGTCAAGTGTACATTATATTGTTTATTTAAGATTTTATTTAAAAGTACCTATAGGTATACTTACTTATTAAAAATAATTACGAAATATAATAGATATTTATTTAAAAGTCAACCTATTGGCATTATAATGTTTGTCTATTTAACTAACATTAAATCTTAGGTCGAGTGATTCTGCAATCCATATTTAGTCAATAAGTCTTTGGTATTAATATTTAGTCAATAATTCTTTAGTATTAATATTTGACATTGCTTAAAATAATAAAACTATTTGATTTTATATTTATTTAATTGCATAACAAAAAGAGACGTATATTAGGAAAGGTTAAATAAAATTTGGTTTGTATACCGCGTAACTTAAAAACCAACAACAAAAATATTAAACTTTAAAAAATCTAATGTATAATAAAAGTAGTACTGATTAATTATAATTAATAATTGATAATTATCAAGGGACCTGTTTAAATATTACATGTCGACCTCAGAACTAAAAAAAAAGGAAATTTTTGCATTAATATTCATAGTGCCCTTAGGGGTTTCAGGGTCACAGTGAAGTTTTGGTGAATAAAATGTATTTAATAGTAAATTCACGGCCGATTTACCATTAAACGACGTTCTTTTCGCGATTCACGGCGAATGATTAGTTTACTTGTTTCATTTGCCTACCAGTACAGATGGTAAATAAATAATGACTTAGCAGTTGTTTTATGGTGGAAATGTCGTGGCCTGGGCGCCGATGTATAGTTAGTTTACACCCTCAACTTCTTAAGCGATTTTTCTTAAAAATGGTAGATTTTAGATCTATTAATCTATTTATAAAATTTGTGAAAAGTAAAATACAGTCATTTTTCTAACAAGTTATATTTTTCCACACGCTACTGGAATTGAACGAACGACGCGACGCGGAGTTCGGGCAAGCAGTAAGTGCTGAAAAATTACTTTGCGCGTGTGTTAGGAAAAATATGTTTTTTATTTTTATTTTTTTAAATTTTTTCTACACGGGTGCGAAAAGTTGCTGCTTATATTTTGATATTGAATTATTTTAGCGATATTTTTCCTTTTTAATAATATTAAGGGCTTCAAGATTTATTAATCTTATTCTAAGTCCTATAAAAAAACGCCGACAACTGAATTTTAAACAACAAATATATTTTCAAATTTATGGCAACATAATATTATATAATATATATTATATAATATATATTATATTATAATACATAATATAATACCCGTTTTTGGTTTTTTCGTTTCTGAATCTACTCTTTTAATAATGCATATCGCTTTTTAAATTTACACGACTTATCTATTTGTTTTATGATTTTTACTAAATTGAAATGCTACTAGCGATGCTCCTTTAGCATATACAGTTACATTTTTTGAGACCAACAAAGCAAAAAACAATTGTCAAATAATCAAAATAAGGGGGGTCCAGTACTCACTGACTCCCCCTATTTTCTAGTACGTGCGCCAATGACTTCCAAACGGTATTTTTTCAGGTATTTATTGTTGAAAATTTTTTGTCTCTTATAAAATTTTGATAAAATGATTTGTTTTAGAGATAATTTGTAAAGTATGGGTCAATCCATATCAAATTTTTGAAATTTAATTTTTTTTTTTGAAAAAATTTAGGTCATGTGATATATCATAAAAAAGGTCTCTAATAGGCCTTTAAAATAAGCCATAACTCACCTTTTAATAGTTTACGAGATATCGCTATTTTTGTAAGTACTTGCAAAACCCAAATTTATCGGAATTTTTTGATTTTCAAATATCAATAAAACAAAAACCACCCATCGAAAAAAATTCATATATGGGATTTTTGAGTTTTTTAGTGAGGTAAACAAATTTACCAAAAATTATCAAAATCGGAGATGGTTGGGGGAAGAACCTTTGGTTGATTTGATATGGACTGACCCATACTTTACAAATTATCTCTAAAACAAATCATTTTATCAAAATTTTATAAGAGACAAATTTTTTTTAGCAATAAATGATTACCTGAAAAAATACCGTTTGGAAGTCATTGGCGCACGTACTAAAAATAGGGGGAGTCAGTAAGTACTGGACCCCCCCCTATTTTGATTATTTGACAATTGTTTTTTGCTTTGTTGGTCTCAAAAAATGTAACTATTTATGTTGAAGTAGTGTACCGAATTTGAACTTAATATCTTATCAATTACTCGAATTATTAAAAAAAATCAGTTTTAAATTTCAAACTTTGTCGCCCTGTATATCGAACATGAAGCTCTAAATTGAAAAATGGTTGTTTTTGTTTTAACTCAAAGGATATATGGTTAACGGATTGACTTCCTTTTCCCGGACACCCTGTATTGTATATTTGCTATTTACAGATGTATACATGGCCAACCAAATTATGACGTTCAAAATTCCGTGTCCGCCATTTTACCTAGGGCCACAATCCACAAAACAAGGTCTGTTCTATGATAGAACTTCTATCTCGTACTAAAAATACAAATAAATCACTGCAACACTGCACAGAGTTTAACTGCGGTCATTTTTGTTGTTTACAATTCTTGTGCTTTGCGTTTGTGCTATTTTTGTACAGATTAAAAACGATTATAATCATTTTAAACGTTGTGTTTCTTACAGAGGCACTTATAAGCCTTAAAAGAGGCCTTAAAGTGCTAAGAACAACAATTTTACTTCTCTTTTGTAAAAGATAAACCTTATTCTATCAGGGCTGTCATTCATCAAATGTTAATTTTTAGGTTAATTTTTGGGTTATGGTAAATCAACCTTAAAATGGACATTTGACAGTTTGATGAGAGCCCTGATAGAATAAGGTTTATTTTATACAAAAAAGGGAGTAAAACGGTTGACCTTGGCACTTTTAAGGCTTACAAGTGCCTCTGTAAGAAACACAACGTTTAAAACGATTATTAATCTGTATAAACCCAAGTCACAAGAATTGTAAACAACAAAAATGGCCACCGTTAAACTCTGCAGTGATTTTAAGTATTTTTAGTAAGATATAGAACAGACCTTGTTGTGTGGATTGTGCCTAGGGCAAAATAATTATAATAGCTTACAATTTTGGCGAATGCTCCGGGATTATTATAGTTTTATATAAAAAAATTATCATTCTTCTTCTCATCTATAAACTTATATTTTATACATCTGGACCTTTACAAAAATGATTTTCCTGGGAAAACCCTTTAAATTTTAATGGAAACAGCTTGTTAAGTGATAAATGGACTTTATTATTGGTTTACTGAAAAAATTAAGAATTAATTTATATATTTATACTTTTTTCACAGCATTAAATCCTGATAAAACCTCTTTTTAAATATCATGTACATTAGGCCCAATCTTTATAATAAGACTTGAAAGAATATAAACAAGGTAAACCTAATATTTTAACTTGAACATTTTTACACTAATATTTTTTTTATAATGCATTATTTAGGAAAGTAGAATTTTCTGCGATTCCTGGCACAAAAATCCTGGGGGTTTGTGGATAAACGTGGTATAATGGGCTGGCAATATTTTTCGACTTTTTTGTTTGGAGCTCACATGAAAAAATGTAAGTTTGAAGTATTTGAAGAGTGCTCAAAAATATTTTAGAGGTTGCTGAGAATTTTTTTAAATTTCTAAAACCATTTTTACGTATATTGTTCAGTTCAAATGTTGTTCAAAATGATTCGAGAATTTTTTTTAAATATTGGGCGACCTACGTTAAAGAGATTAAAAATGAGAAACCAAATATTAAAAAAAATTAAAAAAAATAACTGATACTTTTATGCAATTAAAGGAAATAATTATTGGAATTTAGGTATTTTAAAAGAATTTATTCTTTTTAAAGTTGCTTCATGTTGATTATATCTAGATATAAAACGTTTTTATATTTATCAAAAATCAATGAACCAGAATTTCAGGACATTCACGATTTATAGGTAAAGCAAACCCCTATCGATGAAAGTCTTGATACATATTACCGTATTTACCTACCTAAGTTAACAGTACTGTTGTTGATATGTGCCGTTCAAAAACAAAACAATCGCATACAATAAACAAACCATTAATCGCAATAAACTTATCATCGATTGTTAATTTTGAGTTTATGGGGGAAAGCGGTCGGTTGCACTGTATCGTAAGAAAATAAAACTGAATTGAATTTAACGTTTGTCAGGCTGTGTGTGTTTTTACGCTTGGGCAACTGCAGCCTTGTAACGGCCACTTAGAAATCTCGACAGTGCCTTATAAGTCTTTGGAAAAATGATAATTTTACAATTTATGGCACAAAGACATTTTTACCGCTAGACTTTAAGCGTTCAAGCTGAACTAATAGATTTATTTTAAGACTTAATCAAAATTGGCGTTTTTTAATATAAACATTTTATTTTTTCATTTTTATTACGACAATGTTTTAAAAATAGCCAAAGCTTATAGTAATTTATTTTATTAGACGATTAGGTCTTCCATGAAATTTATGTATTTCTCTTAGTAATTTTTAAGTACACAACCAGGTAAGTGCGATTAAATACACTGATACTTAATTAACAATAGATACATCATAAAAAAAGTTATTAACTATAATGTAATATTTAAAAAAATTAAAATTATTTATAATTATATATTTCTCAACATTTTATAAACTGTTTAAGGCATGTTTTTGATCGGGCCTTCCGGTTGACCTTAAATGGTACTCTATATAGTTAAACTCGCTCACTGCCCTCTATCTCAAAAACGATTCGAGGTATAAAAAAACTTTTTAAACAAAAGTTGTAGAGAATTTTATCTTCTATAATATTGATAATAAATACAAATCGCGTAAACCCCATAGGAAACGAGATATTTGCAGAAAATGTTAAAAAAAAATCGATTTTTGTGACCTTCGACCTTAATTTTTGACAGATGCGGACACCTTACAGTATGTAGGTTTTGAGGCAAGTTTTAGGATGTCAAAATAAAAGTTTATACAAATATACAGCTTGGTATCTCAAATTCCGAGATTCTTACCT